CTGAGCACTAACTGGGTTTACCAGTATACCAACAAGTTTTATTCTAATTTTACTACAAATTCACATGGATTTAATTAGTGGATTTTACTTATCAGTGAAAATAGCAAAATTAAAACCCAGTGAATAATTTATACGTCTTTAATTTTCTCCATGGTCTGCATGCAATTTTTGACAAATATGTCCATCGAATGAATTGCAGCTAACATAAAGTAATTTACAGTACTTACCAAAGCATACAGCTCTCTCTGTGTTATCAACGCTGCACTGCGGGTTGTACCTTCCAGCTGTTGACTGGTTGGTGGAATGTCTTCACTGCCCAGACTGTCAATCATGACATCAACAAATGATGACATACAGTCCTGTCAAGAGCACAATGACATAGTATTAGTAATTTGACGTTATATTCTCTGTATGTAAAATAAGTATAGCACACTAAATAGTTACATGTAGGGATGGACCATTTACTATCAATGGATAACAACTTTAAGATTTAAGGGTAAAAAAAAACAATCTATTTATGACATAGAGGCAACAAAGGCAATTGCTCTTTGATATTCCCAACTTATCCCAAGATGCAAACCAATTATATCCATTTTGACCTTGACAATGGATGTCCTTTCAATTCCAAGAATCTAGTGATCATGAAATTACATATTGTAAAACATCGTTCAAATAGCTGCATACATGTACCATTTTAGCAAATTTGACTCAATACATATTTAAAGTGCCAAAAATGTTTGTACGAGAATATAGTTCATTTATTGATTAGATAAATTAGCTACAATAACATGGTAGCTGAAAAGACAGTTTACTGTGGTGAGTTGGTAATACATGTATCTCACAGCCATCATTATCAACAAGGTCACAATTAACTGGAAATGAAAATATCATTGGCAATGAAAATCACATCTACTCAAAACTGAGAGATAACAGCCCAAAATGGGGATGAAAATCATTTTTGACACCAGTCACACCAAGTATTTATGAGAACATCTGCTTTTCAGTGACGTCATTCACATGCTACATTATTGCTTCATTCAACCCTTTTTCTGATCTCATCAAAAATGTGTGAAAATAAACTTTGGAAAACACAGCCAAAATGTTTTTTCAGCAAACAATTAAGGTAGCGAGACTATTATTTGTGTTGAAAATTACGATTTTCACATTTATTTATTAATTGATGAAATGCACTATAAACTTTCATATGATAAAGTCAACATAACATAGAATGTCATGTAAGTTGGTTAAAATGTAGATTTTCTGAAGGGAAGCAAGGCAGCCTCAGTAGTGTTTTCCAAAATCAACAACACAGGTTTAATCTGTGTGCCTATAAGTTTCAAAGATAAACTCAAGACAAAGCAATGTTAGGATGTGTTATCAGT